ATGACACAATCGAAATTAATAAGATAATAAGAATTGCTCTTTAATGTGAAACATACATCAATAGATGGTAACATAGCTTTAAAAAACAGACTACAAGTCGTCGATCGAAATTCGATAAAAATTGTGCCCTGTATATAATATTAATTGACCCGAAATCAGATTGTTAAATATCCGCCCGTATTTCTTTTAAATACCTCTAGCAATTGTTGGAAGAAAAAAAAAAATTAAATCCCGCGTAAACATAATTGTTTAAAAGAACGAATTACAATTATACACACAGATATAGCGGAGGATGTTCGTTTAGCTCGGCGTTTGTTATCATAGTATATCGAAGAATTAATCGTAGTCATTAAAAATGAAAATCAGTCGAATAATCATCGTACATGTGTGTAGCTCGTGTCAACAGATCTCGCAAATACTCGAAATCAATTTTGAAACTTTATTGTCTGTCTGGCGTATCGTAATGCGCGTGATTTTTATATTAAGTATTTTTTATCAGGGGAGAAATTTCTTTTCCTCTATTGTCCTACTAAATGTTTCTAAAGCTGACTTACGTAGCCAAAAATGTTTCATTATGGATTATTGACAGATTTCTAAAGATATTCTCGATCGTACGTGCACTCTTTTATTTTATTTTATTTATTTATTCTTTTTTTATTTCTTTCCTTTCAATCGATAATTTAAAAATTCATCAATTACAGTTACAATTACAGTATTCAAATTCGCGGACGGACAATTTCTTTTTTCTTTTTTTTCCGTTTCTTTACTTTTTTTTCAATAGATTTCTTTTTCTTCTTTTCTTTCTTTTTCTCTTATTCAAATTGAAGAATGCACGCGCGGTCGTATCTACCGGAAAGAAAAGTGAAAATACAACGATATGATGGGAGAATTGATTGCCGTCGTTTGCAACAAAGCTATTAGTAATATCAACATAATTGTGCTTATAAATCGTCTTAGACTTAAATCTTTTAGTAAAGATAAAGAAACACTAATATACATCTAATTTCGTGCGAGCAATTATATCTTACAGAATAGCAGCGCAATAGCTTCATTATCGTAAATCATGATCACCCTCTACGTATGCATAAGCAAGAGTCTCTACGAGTAATCGTTACATACGTATACGTATTAGGTAGAAAAACTAGCGATATAGATACAAAGAGCTGCCCCTCACAATAAAGATCCCTAAAATGTTATCAAAATTTATAATTACCCGATCTACCCTCGATAATACAAAGTAATAAGTAACGCTCGATGAATCTAACATGCACTATCTACTTAAGAAAAAAAAAAAAAAAAGAAACAAAAAAAAAAACTTATATATATATACGCGTCAAAGTTATCGTATCGAAATATGTAAATAAGTAATGCGAACGACGGCAAGCGAAGATATTCTCTACTCGAAACGATCAAATCTAAACCGATACACGATTACATACATCCTCCCATCCCTAAGCTACACGATCGAAATACAGATTATGAAGCTGCAGTTTGATTAAAACACGGTTGTCGCGCGTGTATGTGTGTGTGTGTGTGTGTGTGTGTGTGTGTGTGTGTGTGTGTGTG